AAAGTGCTGGGACAGGTTGGTAGGTGTAAATACACTATATTGTTATTGCCAGGGAAAAGCAAGCTGTTCTGTCTCAGGTTTCCATTTCATACGTGCTTACACATAATGTATTTGGACAAAAAAACTCTTTCATGTTTCAGTTCGATCTTATTGCCCAGTGCTATATTCCTGGGACGTCCAACAGACAATGACTCTGAAAATAGGAACCAGCTTCCAGGCTGGACCTTGGCTTTTCTGCAAACAGCACAATCAACGAGGAGTCAGGAAGAAGGAGGATGGGGGGAGCCTGAACATCTTTCGAATGTGCTTTGTAGCATAGCTTTAGAGGAGGTGAAAAAGACAACAGGGAAGGGAGCCATCAGCTGCATATCTCTAACTGTGCTGCCTGACTGATTTGTGAGACTGCTGCAGCCTTGGAGCAGCTTCCACAGCCCGGTGGTGGGAGGCTGAGAGGCCAGCACACAAGAGCAGCTTTGCACCCTCTTTGTGTAGAAGTTGTTACATCAGAAATCCCTGCAAACGATCCCAAAAGGAAACATACACCTGTGCAAGCTTCCACCATGAAAACAAACAAAGAAAATCACATAATAAAGCTCATCTTCATGGATAAGTCTGGTAGCTACTCCACCTGGAACACCATAACCTGGCACAGGCATTGAGACAGCATGGGTGCCCAAGGCGCAACAGGAGGAATGAACTGATCCCTGTGAAATGGAGCTGAAATGAACAATGGGAAGCGTGAAGTATAAGCATTAAAATGCAAGTATGAGAATAACATCTGACTTGTGCTCCACAAAGCTCAAAGGGGACCTCTTAACAACAAGGGCCTCAGAATTTATGAGGGGTTGAGCACCTTCTGTGTGGTGCTGAGATGCCTCCATTTTTAGTGGCTCTAGTTAGAGCTAAGGGAGCCTGACAACTTGCAGAATCAATTCCTAAATGCTGCCTATCACAAACCAACCAAAAAAATATACGTTGCTTTTGGAAACAAGTTGGCCTAACTGAGTGCCTTCTAGTATCCTGGTTTTTTCCTAGCAATCACTAAAGCAATCTTTCCATTAGAAGGAAATATGGCTCTTGGAATTAATTCTTTATACAAAAAGCTGGCAAGAGTGACATTTACACCAAAATTAAGTCTCTGTGGTAGTGTAATGAACAGCCTACATCTGTTTCCTTGATGCCAAGGATAATTTAGATCAATGTGGTTGAATTATCTGAGAGCAATGCTAGAATTAGAAGATTCAATACATGCTTTAAATATCCTTTTGTTAAAGATCTGGGGTTAATCAATCATTAAAAAATGTGTCCCATTTGAAAAGCTTGTCACTAAAAAAAAATCAACAAACCTAACCAATTACTACAGAGAGCAGATGTGACAACTAGTTTTAGAGATTTAATGGAAGGGTTTCAGATACTACTGCGGACTAATGAAAGCCAAGAAGCAAAGAAGTGCAGCATTAATATTTTCTGAAATGCATTTTGTGAGTGGATTATGCAGTTATTTACTTTAACTCATGCTATTCTATTATTTAAAGTCTATGGATAATTTGAGCATATGAAATCGAATATCAAGAATTTGAAATTTTGAGTATAAATGACGAAGTACCAAACCCAACAACAAAAATCCAGCCTGTAGCATGTGATCGTTATTTGTTGTTCTAAACTCAGACAATGAAGGGCAAAAGAGGTACTACTTTACCTATGTGGCCAATCCCAAATCACAGAAAATGAAATAAAATTTTTCAGCCTTAGTTAGCACAAATAAATAATGTATGAGAATGAATTTTTATTTTCCAAATAAACAACAAGGTTATTTGCTCAAATTCTATAAAAGTAGTAACAAAAATAGAGCAAGCTGTTAATAATTAACCTTAGTTGAAGATAAAAATTTGTTTGGCAATATTTGTAATTGTTTGTACAGGCTATTGCCTATCAATGGCAATGAAGATTTTGTATACCAGCATCTTAATACTTTTAGGACAAAAGGCAAGAATCCATTTTTATTCAAGGTTATTTGCTCAAATTCTATAAAAGTAGTAACAAAAATAGAGCAAGCTGTTAATAATTAACCTTAGTTGAAGATAAAAATTTGTTTGGCAATATTTGTAATTGTTTGTACAGGCTATTGCCTATCAATGGCAATGAAGATTTTGTATACCAGCATCTTAATACTTTTAGGACAAAAGGCAAGAATCCATTTTTATTCCAGGACTAGATACTGCTACCTCTGTGGTCTCTGGCAAGTCATTTAACTCATTTTCCCTCATTTCCGCATCTTTGAAAAGTGGCAGTACCCCTTACTGATTGAAAAAGTCATGCAGTGATTTAAGAATAGTGCTTTAAGGATTAAAAGCCTTGTGGATGATTAAATAATGTCTTTTTCACTGGTGTTCTCTATTTTGTTATCTTGCCTAAGACATAAGTCAAAAATCCCAAGGACTGATTAGCTCATTTGAAAAGAACAAAACATTTTCAAGATGTAACACGTAATTGTGAAAGACTGTTTATAAACATGACAAACCTCTTTATTTATCAGCACTAAGAACAGTAATATTTATCACATATTCTATATTTCTGTGGGTTGGCTAAATATGTTACTTTTGATATACTGTAAACAAGTTTATAAAGGATTTCAAACAAATATATATGTGTGTGTTCTTGTGTTGGAAAAGACAACGAAAATATGAATCTCCTGCAGTTAAAACTGAGCACTTCTAGGGTTCAATTTGACTTCAGTTTTTTTCCCAAATAAATTCACACAAGCAGTACATAAATATAGGTAATTAAGTTTTTTGATATTAGAAAGAGTTGGAGTTTGGGGTCCTTTTCATGGATTTGCCATGTAAAAGGATAAATCACCTAATAAGGGAATGCCAGTCAGGGTTTAAGTGTTATAAAGAAGCATCAAGAGCAATGCTTTATTATGTTAATTCAAGACATTTTAATGTAATCAGTAGACATCAGAAAATGTGCTCTGAATCTGGAACAAAAAAACATATTTTAGAAATTGCTGTTCTATAGGACTAAGTAATTTTGAAGAGTATGTCACGTTTACAACAAAATTCTCAGCACAACTAACTTTGCTGCACAGGTTTTTTCTTCTTGAAGTTGTAATGGACCTACAGAGAAACACTTATTAGCCGAGAGTTTGTAAATGCTCTTGTATCTGGTCTGACATTGCTAAAACAGAGCAAACAAATGTTGATGTTGTCTAGACTGGATTCTGTCGTGAAACATGCATCTGAACTTGCAAACTGGCTGATGGAGGGCAAAGGGAAACTCCACAAAGTACTTGGAATAACCTGTGAATTATTTGGTCATGCAGAGAAGGGAACAGAAGATTGGGACCAGAGCTGTGCGAGTCTGCTGGAAAAGCTGGAGGCATTAACTTATCACTGCAACAAACCAAGTTTCTACACCCACCCTGGGGCCCAGCTGTGTCCTTCTGGGGTCCCTGTGACACTGCTCTGCTGTGCAGCCTGGCAGATGGCGAGTCCTTCAGCCTCCCTGCCAGTGTGCTCCTCCTCGCCTTGCCTCAGATTGCATTGACTTGTATGTGATTTGAAATAAAGAAATGTATCTGCTCGTGATCCTGCCTTCACTTCATTTCTGCTCTACCAGCTGCTTCCTCTTATTTCTGCTCTACTCCCTCCACTGGTGTCCCCGGAGGAGATTTCTCTGAAAAAGCTCACAATGGGTAAAAGTGGTGGTAACGACAGACCCGTAGCAGAAACTGAATCCCTCTTCCATAGCTAAAAAGTCTATGTTTTATATCTCTGGCAGAATCCAAATACATTAATCATGACTGCTAATTAAACTTAATTAATCCACAAGATTAAGTCCATGGCAGTCTTCCACTCCTCTCTGTGTTTGCCTTTGGTTTCGCAAGCAAATGCACATAAAGTCAATTCAGAGACAGACAAAAAGAAAGCCCCAATCCTTTGCTCCCCTCCTGAAGTGCATCTAAAATCAACCCTATATATGTATATATATACAGTTACATACATACAGATATATACATACAAATATGCACGTGTATCTAACATACATATATGTATGTGTGTAATGGAAACCATCAGTCCCATCTGGACGATGGCTATGTCAGAAACAGTGATAGTTATATTTGCCTTCATAACCATGGACATTGCTCGCTTTTACTTTCCTCTTCCTTCCCTCCCTTCCTCCCTCTGCCACTACTCTTCAGAGCTACATTTTAGGCTTGCTATGCTTTTCACTGAGTTCGCTATAAGTCTTTCCACTGAGTTCAGCAAAAAACAAACCAAGCCTTGCAACTACATTTCAAAGCAGTGTATACAAAATAAAATTATGTGTGGAATCAGAAAAATGTACATGTGGGATAGTCTACATTTTTACTCCATGTTTCAGATACTTTACTGACATCAGGTCCTACCATGTTCATTTTTATATATGCTCTATCCCTGTAACAGGGAGAAAATTCCAAAAAAACTTTTCCTGTCTCCACTAAAATCATCCAGACAAGGCTTCTGCACCATTGATACATTCCTGATGTTTCGTTTACAGACTGCACGCATGCACTACATTACACGCATCTCAGAAGTGATCCTGTCATTACACATCGGCAGCTGATAATTTAACTCTGCCTGGCAAAGCAAATCTTGATTGTCCAAAGTAAATCTAACACATTACTTGGAGAGTAAGAAATGCATGACAGCCAGGCTGAGCATCCTTTAAAAGTAGGCATGGGATTTTTAAGCTACAGCATGTATGCATATAATACTTACATATATATATATATATAAAAAAGTATATAGCACATATATATATATGTGTGTATTCCATACATGAACCATAATTTCCAAGACAGCTACAAATTTCCACATGCATTAAACTATCTAAAAACATAGAAATAGGCAAGTCTAAAGAGTGGAATTTTCTTAAATAATATTTGAACAATAAACAGCAAGAGTAATACTGCAAAGTAGCTCTATTCTCATGTATATCTACAATAAAATTCTAGGAACAGTTGTCTCCCAAAACAACCCCCAATAAAATAAAATAAAAAAAAGGTAATACCCAGTGTCCTATATTTGTATATTCATTGTCAGTTCAAAAAAAAAAAAAGTAAACAAAGAAAAGAGAAAAAAGACATCCCCACTCAGAGTTGCATATTTACATTCTTCAAACTGTAGCGGTGAAAAATAATTCTATTAAGTGCAGGACATTCCTAGTGTTGCAGTAGTGACATTTTTAATAAGTTCTTCATGAAAACATTTCTTTCTGTCTTAATAGTGACGCATTCCATGACTACGTGAAAATTCTATTATCCCCTTCACTTGCAGCCAGTGGTTGAGTCTGGATTGAAAAGCTCCTTGTATAATGGAGGAAACAGTGTGTTCACTATATCTGGATGAGATTGCTTAAATACCTGTAGTTTCTCTCCGTGCAAGTTGCAAAGTGCAGTAATGGTTGGTATCTTGGCTATTAACTGCGAGACATTAAAATAAAAAGGAAGAGGGAGGAAGCAAATTTAGTATAAATTACAGTTTCCAAAATGAATTATGTTAACACCTTTTTGGGTAACTGAATGCAATACTCTGAACTCAATCAAAAATACCCATCCAAAGGACATTGTTCTTACTGTAAGAGGCTACAAACAATTGTCCTGGAAATTTTAGCCAAGTGCCAAAAATGCATTTAACAAGGAACTGCCTCCAGGGGTATTTTCTTAAGGCAGATGCATTCTTGCTAGGGTACCAATTAAGAAGATTTGTGCATTGAGCAAAAAATGGAGTAAGAGGAACCAGGGACAAGAGTAAAACAAGCCTTACTTCTCCTATACATTGCAAGCACATAGTGTGCTGCTTTTAACTTACATTAATGCAGCAATACATGGAGAAATGGCTACAAAAAAAAGGCACGATCAAGGAGTGCTTGGCTCTTTATTTTAACGATTTACCTTTGTCAAAGTCTCATCGTCGAGGTGGTTCTTCTGGATCACGTGTTGAAGTGCAAAGTAAATCTTTTCCTGAAGCTTCTGAACCTTCCTTGGCTCTATTAACCAGGCTCGATCTGAGAAAAAGGAAAGCAAGAGCTAAAGTCAAGAATGCACAGATGTGGGGCATGCTCATGGATGAACACAGTGTCCCATGCTGGCAAGCATTCACAGCAGCTGTAATTCCCCTGAGGAAGGATTGCATGATAATTAAGACATGGTTTCAGAGGCAAAGTATCTTAATCCATTAAAGGATCACCTGAGAATTTAATTAACAGATACAGAGTGTACAGGAACACAATGGTGGCTCTGCATCTCTTTGTTTAAACCAGGATGTTAGAGATAAAGATGGGAGTAGAAATGAAACAAGGCCCAACCCATTTTATTATCCTCTGTTGGTACAACCAGTGTTCTAACTTCATACTGGCTAGGTGAAAAACATGTCATGTTATCTCAGTGTCTTAATACATAAGTAATAAACATATTGATCAAAACAGTTCTTTGAAAATAATAGAATATAATTATTTAAAAATTAAAATAATATATATCTCATTATTTACTAGCCTAACATTTTGAGACCAAATATTATATTCTGAATAAAAAGAAATGGCTTCCTTCAAAAGAATTTCTTTAATAATTCAAAAGAATTATGAGTTGTTGCAATGTCTTGAAGTGCAAATTTCTCATTATTTAAAAATGTTCTCTTTTTAAACAACACAAAATAAAAGATTATCTGGGAGAATAACAGTTACAGACACAGTTGTTTGGAAACCTATATGGCTTCTACTGAACTCAAGCCCCAAGTGTAGGAGGTCTTTCTTAAGATCTATATTCTCACAAGTCATAGCTTCTGGAGACAAACATACAGAAAGAAGTAGCAGACCCCAAGACAATCCCAAAAAAATTAATACAGTGTGTTTACAGCACCATTAAACCTTCTGTTTTCCCATGCTGCAAACTTGTTTCTTCCTCCTTCTCTCCCTCAATTCAGACCAATTCTTGGGTATAGATTTTAGCTTTCAAACAGGAAATAAGAAAATCTATTTTATCACAGGGCATGAATCTTCATGTACAAATTGAAGAGTGCAGGAAAATCCCTTTCACTTTTAGGGCAGTTTCACGCACTCCCAGTCACTAAAATAATCCATAGAAATAATATATGTTGACCATTTCAATGAGCACACATGCCACAGAGGCGGGAGCTGAATAGTATTTCATCACAGGAGGAGCAGGATTCTGTCATTTGTCTGACTGTCTGTGGAGAGGGGTGTATGAAAGGTGTCCATCACCAAGTACTGTGAAAAGAGACAAAACCAAACCTCTAGCTACTTAACGGATGATCAGGAAAAGAAAATAATCTTTTTGCAAAGCTTAGAGAATCATGCTCCCGGAAGGTAAGCCAATGTATCCTGTGCCACCAGTGGCCATAGAAACAGAATTAGGTGAGAGCATGCGCAGCATCTACGCAAATAAGCACACAATAATATTTAGACTTCACAGGTTAGGTGCCAAATTTTACGCTAGCGCAAAAACATGCCTTTCAATAGTGTTAAATCAAGGCCTATTGTAGCAGACTGGAGCTAAAAAGATTTATCATAGAAAGCAATCCTTAAAGATTTATCTTTCTGTCAGAAGAATAAGCTTAAAAGTAGACTGAGGCTGTTGGAGGACAGGTTTAATCATTTATGTGTCATGGAGCATGCTGTATATAACACAAGAGTTCTTAAATTCATGACAAGAGCTAGGTGAAAATTTCACGATGGATATTAAGTTAATCTTCCAAAATGTGGTTTCTACCACCTGAAAACCATCTGCAAATTTGGCTGGAATTCCCCAGGTACCTCTAGTTATATTCACAAAAGTGCAGGAAAATGTCAATAGATCAGTGGCTACCCATAGAGGATATAAGAAGCAGTGGTTCAATTCAATTCTGTACTTTTCCTTTTGAGTTTTGAACTTGTGTATCTTTAAAGAGTGCACAGGCCACTAGGCTAGAGTAGTGTAGGAGAGAAGCTGAGGGACAACTTACAAGATCTCCTTTTGCAAAAAGGAAGATGGAAAAAAGGAACATGGCCAGTCAGAATTTCAGAAGAGAGACTGGCACCCAGGGGGCAGCAGCCAGGTTAGTGTCTTACCACCTGGCTCTGGCACGTTTGCAGGTGGAGATGACTCCGCAACCTTTACTGGACTCCTTCTACAATGTTTTAACCTTTGAAATCAGAAATAAAGTTAAACAATCACCTCCAAGCAGAGTGGTTAGGTCCACCCTAAAGTGGAAAATCTGGTTTTGTGCTCTGAATCAGATGGAAAATGGGTCTGACACAGGGCTTTGCAACCTTAGTAATTTTATTAATGGATGTTCTTAGGTCCCCTTACTCGCAATGGGACCACTCTGTTTCCTGTAAACTACCTAAACACTGAGATCAAGGGCACAAGAATCACCTTCCAGGATGGTGGCTTCTGTAGAAAAGAAACTTGAATATGAGTACTTCCCATAGGGAATCTCTGTGTACCTATATTAGTGGATGGAATCACAGAATCATAGAATCATTTAGGTTGGAAAAGACCTCTAAGATCATTGAGTCCAACCGTCGACCCAACACCACCATGTCCACTAAACCATGTCCCTAAGTGTCACATCTACACGCCTTTTAAATACCTCCAGGGATGGGGACTCCACCACTTCCCTGGGCAGCCTGTTTCAATGTTTAACCACTCTTTCAGTAAAGAAATTTTTCCTCATGTCCAATCTAAACCTCCCCTGGCGCAACTTGAGGCCATTTCCTCTCGTCCTAAAGGAAGGACTGGTGCAGGTAGTTCTGTGAAGCAGTGCTTCATTTTTTTAATTTTTACATACATTCCTGTGCTGGTTTTGGCTGGGGTAGAGTTAATTTTCTTCATAGTAGCTGGTATGGGGCTATGTTTTGAATTTGTGCTGGAAACAGTGTTGGTAATACAGGGATGTTTTCGTTACTGCTGAGCAGTGCTGACACAGAGTCAAGGCCTTTTCTGCTTCTCACCCCACCCCACCAGCGAGGAGGCTGGGGGTGCACAAGAAGCTGGGAGGGGGCACAGCTGGGACAGCTGACCCCAACTGACCACAGGGATATTCCATACCATATGACATCATGCTCAGCATGTAAAGCTCGGGGAAGAAGGAGGAAGCGGGGGACATTCGGAGTGATGGCGTTTGTCTTCCCAAGTAACCGTTACGCGTGATGGAGCCCTGCTTTCCTGGAGATGGCTGAACACCTGCCTGCCAATGGGAAG